ACATCATGCCCTGGCAACCAAACCTTTCCTGTTAGGTCCTGGCAGTCAACCACGTCAAAGGGCTGAGTTTTGTCACTTTGAATTCCTTTTGTTTCCTTTGCCAGATTTTAACAATGATGACTACATATGCAAATCTGATCTAGAGAAAACAGTCAACAAATTAACCCGAAATGAACTTACCCCAGAAGAAGTGAGCCTTGTATGTGAAAAGGTGATTTACGAAGCTGATGTGGACAACGATGGCAAGCTGTCTCTGGAGGACTTCCAGCATATGATCATACGGGCTCCAGATTTCCTTAGGTAGTATTTGCTTTGCATTTCTAACACAAGATTGATCTTATTTCTTTTGTCAGAAGTCTCTGTAGTGTGTGTTTTACGTCCCCTCAGCCACTGCAGATCCCTGACAGCAGTAGCAGAGCTGTCCACTGCAAAGACTGGGGAAAACATGCTTGAAAAAGTGGGGAAGCTTCTTGACTTGCTTTTGGAATCTCTGGTATATTTTGGACATAAAAAATAAGGCCTCAACTTGAAATGTTAGTATTAGCTCTTAGGTTCCATTGAGAAGTATATGAGATGATGCCTCACAGAGTCTTAATGTGGTTTCTGACACACATCTTGCACAAAGCAGCACTCAAATGTTGCACTTATTTCATGTACAAAGACAGCTTCCAATTTATAGGATTAACTGTAGTGAATCCTTTTAATAGATCGATGACAAGTGATCATTACTTCCTCTTTTTTTTAATAGCACATTTCACATTCGAATCTGAACCTAGTGAAACATGTAGAGGGAAGCACTTCTTGAACCTTCAGCAACTATTACTTCACCTGAGATTACCGTCCATGAGGGAGTAAAAGGAGAGGAGCAAGAGGACAATTTCTGGTAACTGAACCAGTCAGAAACCTCTGTCTCTTTTTTACCTCTTTAGAAGGAGAAATTCATTAAGCTCTTCATCATGATTTCTCTGTTATTTATCAAAATGTCTGTTTTCCCTGCAGTGTAACAAAAACTCTTTTCCTCCTCCCTCCCCCCAGCTAAAGCAAATCTGACCTAGACAGTGAGATGAGAAATAGTTTCTTCACATTCAGATACCACCAGGTAATAAAGGAACTTGTATGAAATTATACAGAGAAGAGCTTTCTACTTCCAAATTCATAATGAAAAGTGAACATATTTTCAAGTACAGGAGAGCCTCCCCCAGGTTCCTGTCCCTCCTTTCTATTTCTGTAAGTACTCCATTTCCCACACAAGAACCTGCGTGCACGAGTGAGGAATGGGACTGAAACTCAGCTGGTAAAATTCTCTTTTCATAAGAAGTTTATTTATGCAGTGCTCAGGGTCCTGTACAACAGAGTAAAAACAGACATACCGTAATAAACTACAGCTTTGTTTTTCATACAAACATGGCAATCCATGAGAAGTGTTTAAGAAAGCAATTGTCATGTGGGAAGGGGGGCAGCCAAAAGTGGTCATTCTAAAAAACACAATTTTCAGTTGTTTAAAAAAATCTGTGGGATGCATTAAAGTTCCCTTCAAAGCAAAGTCTTAAGTCCCAACTCACGCTCAACGCAGAGCATCCAATTCCTGCAGAAAGGCTGGAGAGCTCAGCCCAAAAAACGTGTGTTGACTACAGAAACAAGATCTCCAACGATCACTGGAAGAGATGGGTCAAAGAATAAGGCAGCCTGAAATAATCAGACTGCGTGTTACCATCAGCGTTCAACTGAACAGCTCCTTAGTTAATCTAGAAAAGACAGAAGTTAGTCTCATTCCTTCCCAACCCCTCTGAGCTTCTGGTACTAATGGAGACCGTCCTCCACGCAGCTGTTTGTCCAGTTCCTCTCCAGCACAGACACCAGCCATTTCAAGTCCAAGAGAACAAGAAATCATGGTAGCTTTTGAGCATGATCATCAAGCCAAAGACACCACCAGAACAATCATCATCCCCTAACACTTGTCAGCGAGATGAGCAGCATCTCACATGAAAGGAGACACCAAATAAGTTTCAGCAGCAGTGAAGAGACTTACAATAATCCATAGGATTTATAAATCTGAGGCTGAAAGTCTGATGCTGGCATAAGGCTCTGATGTCAAGGAACATGAGGTGTGCCCATTGGCATAGGACCAAGACGACATAGACAACATAAGTGTTAAAATGGCAGTGTTCAAACAGCAGTTCCCCTATTTATTGACAGACGAGCTCCTGACAGGCCCACACCCAAAGGGAGTGAAGACTATCCGAAGTATTGCAACCAGCCTCACAACTAAGGTCAGCCACAGAATTCTGTGATACTCATTAAAGTAAGGGAGCTTGAGAACATGCTCAAACATGGGTTTGTTTTTCTACAAACCAAGTGTTACTCCATTACCTGAAATTTTAGTGGCATCTAGACACTGAGAATGTGTAGTAAGCACAGAGTTAGTTTTTCAGATCAACTTAAATTCCTCAGTTTTACAAATTCTGTACCTGACTGAAAAGCTTTTCTTCCTTAAAGTTCAGATACAAGCTCGTTACTGGAGGTATTTACAGGGTACCTCTTTCCATCATTGTGTTTTCCACAACACTCACACTTACAAACCACAGTAATTTAATTCTGTGATGGAAACATCAACTACATATTGTCCTTCTCCAAGATTTGATGTCCATGTTTAGCAACATGCAGTCAGGCATAGGTACAACTGCAGTGTCTTCAGCCTTTTCCTGTCTTCCATTTACATTTTATGTTTCATATTGCTTACTCTGATTTACTATCGGTGTAGAGTCTGTGGACCCCAGAAGTACAGTGATGACTGTAATCACAGTAACTGTATGAAACTTCCTGAGTTTGGGCAATAATGTAGTTATTCGTGGAGAACACCAAATCATCTCGTGAAAGGAAAGCATGCTATAAATTAGGTACATAAACATGTGCAACAACTAGCATAAGATGAAACAAAAGGTATTCACACACAGAATTTGTTTTGAATGAAAAGATTAACTTCAGATTTAGAAAGTGAGGAGTAAAAACCACAATCCCATCCTTCAAGTTTTAGCCACTTGGAAATGAGTATGATTTGCTTTCTCACTGCAAGACAAGTTATCAGTTCAGATACTGCCAGCAGGCAGCAGCAGGGTGGACAGCCCCTGGTATCAAGTTAGACCAACCACTTATTTTTCCAGTCCCTCATCTCAAGATCAAAGTGTTGCTTGTCCAATCTACAGCTCTGCATTAACTACGCTTTGAAGCACGTGCTGACTAGAAGGCTCTTCAGGAGCTTAAAGTGATTTTATCCTACAGATACACCAGCGTGTACATCCCCTACAGTGCACGTTCACCAGGTCCTCACACTAAAAAGCCACAAGTAAACAAAAAGAAACAACAACCCAACATCATAAGGTTCTGGTTAGAGGAAAGCTCTACGTATGATTTTAATCATGAGCAGAGCTCACTGTAATCTGCTCTTTAAACATAAAATAACAAAAGCTGGGTAGCACAGAAAATGCATTTTTATAAACCAGTAACTTCTGCAGGAAAAGTTCCTTTTCCATTCTAGAAAAACAGGCAATGCTCCTGTTGAGCCCAGCTGCATGCTGCAGACTCCTAGTTTCAGTCTGAATCCGATAGATCATTAACTACAGCAATAGTCAGGAGTGCTCCTTTGAGGCCAGGCTGTAACACCACAAACTTGAAGAAAACAAAACTGGTGAGTAAATTCATTAACTTTAAAATCAGCTTTAATTTTACCCTTGAAGTGCAGTTGTCAATGTAAACAAAGCACGTTAACAATTCCAGTGAGTTGCAGGACACAGCTGATATGGTTGTTTGAACTAAATACACCGTAACTGCAATCACTCCACAGCAGGCTTTGAAGGAGATGGCTCCTCCTGGCTCCTTTTGTCAGCCTAAGGAAGTCAGGCTTACAGCCTCTGAACTGACAGCAATGAGGAGCTTCACTCGGCCGTTACAGTTTACACATTGGAATGTAACAGACTGTGTATATCAGAATAAATACATAGACTATTTCCACTGAGGACTAACAGTGCCTGCATTGCTGCTCACCAGTGACAGCTCTGCTGCTGCCCGATACCCGCAGCGATCGTGGGTCAGCAGCGAGGCAAATCTCAGCTTCACAGAGTTGCTTTGCACAAAGTGTTTGTATGTGCAATGTTTCTTTGCATATGTGAGCGAAGTGTGTGTGAGGACACACAACTGGAAGCAGTGCAATACATGTTCTTGTCACGATACAAAAGGAGCTACGATGTCATGACAGAGCTGGAGTTGTTCTCAAGTGGAGAAGGAGAAGCTGGAATGTTTGAGTGAGTGTCCCTGCCCGAACCACGGCCTGTTGCTCCAAGAACAGATCACAGACCAGCTGCACGAGACTCGCTGTAGCCACCGTCTCCTCTGAAACACGTCTGAACATCTGGAGTACTTAACTAAGCACAGTCAAGTCTAACATGGTGACAGTAATTCCTGATGGGAAGGAACCATTCTATTTACAGCACACTTTGGTTTTTTAAAAAAATAGAGATTCCTTTGAGAAGGATTATTTTTTAACTTCAAATGTACTTGTGGATTGTCCAGAGAGACACAACTGCGCGAGTAACAGGCAGATAAGGGGGTTTTCTCCATAGCAGCCAAGAGGTGGAAATGCAGAAAGCTACCTTCTACCTTCTGAGAAGGTACAAGCCTGCACTGCTCACAGCAGCACAATTCTTTGCTGTTTTGAAGCAGTTGTTCTCTATGCACCTCCAGACGTGGCTACGCACACATCTCACCTACACACACCTGTACTTCACTAGTATTGGCATTTCCATTTCTTGTTTTGTCGTAACTTCATCTCTCTACGTTGGATATATCATGGATACAAACCAGAAGATTGCAGCCTGCCGGCAAAGGTGCTGTATCACAGGTCCCAGGTGCTCTGCACTCCCTCTGCTAGACAACACACATGCCCAGTGGCAATCTGACCAAAATAAGCTTGTTTCATCTCCAAAACTGAAGAGTCAGACAATTACTAAAATAAACAATTTCTTACTCGTATGGTCACAACGTGACAAGGTTGAGAATGCAAAGTCCACAGCCAGAGGAAAGCTCACCGGGAACAGGCACAGTCCAGCTCGGGGAGCAGCCGCTCAGGTTAAGGCCGTGTCCCTCACAGAAGAACGCATCGGAAAAAGCTGCTTTTCTTCTGCTGCTCCGGTGTGATTTTGACGCCCTGGTTGCTGCCCTGGGGGCTGTTGCCTTCCTGGAGGCACAAAGAGTATTTTATTACTTACTTATCAGAGAACTACAGCTGCTGCCTTCAGCTCTCACACCCGCTGCGCCCATTCTCTGCCTTCCATGGGCTCAGAGACAGCCAGGATAAAACCAACCCCAACGAATGACATGTTTGGCTCTTGCTGAAACATGGAGGAATCCAGAGCAAGACCCAACCCATCCTCTACCCCTCCCTTTCAATAAAACAAAGAGGATTTTATTCATGGAAAACCTCACCCATTGCAGCCACCTCCTGCAATGCAGAGACAATTGTTGATAAGCCAAGGTCAGAGTGTAGCTTGGCAAAACTAAGACTTAATTCCTCTAACATTTGGTGCATTCCCCATGTAAAAGACCACAAAATATTTCCTATACACTTTTTGGCTTTAGGTCTGTTTCCCATTTACGTATAATGTGGATGAAACAGAAGCTACTCACCAACTTCTTGTCCATTTTTGCTTTGATATCTCTTGCCAGAGTGAAAAATGCCTGCAGCGAGTGCAACAGTTGGGTGTTATGTGGCAAATAAGATGCACTCAGTAACACTTTTATTGAGCAATGAGCTGCCTTCCTGAGTTTCTGTGTACACCGAACTCCTGAAGAACCAAGTTTTCAGCTTCCCCCCAGCCCGGGTTTTAATGCTCCTTTTTCAACTCCAAACCTCCCCCCCAAGCCCAAAAAACCTGCACAGGCCACACCTGCAGGCCCAGGTTTATGGAGCAGGAAAGCGTTGCCCTTTATCGATCACAGCAGTGAACACAAAGACACGAGCCAAGGTTTTCACTTTGCTCTCAGACCCCCGTGGTATGTTCCATTTAAACAAATGAGCCCAACGTTGCCCAACCAAGGCCTTCACAGGACACTTCACAGCCCCACACAGCACTGAGTGCTCCCACCCCATCTGCACAAGCCAGTGAGTCCTGCAAGGGGAGGGTTCTGGTACTCACGTTCTCTATGTTTATATTTGCCTTTGCGCTGGTCTCCATGAACTTAATTCCGAAGCTGGCAGCGAGCTGCACACAAACAGGTTGCACATGAGAGCAGGAACTGCAGGAAGAGCTCCAAACCCGAGCAGCAGCGCAGGGAACAGCTCCAAACCCCCCATTCACAGGAACGGGGGGATTTACTCAAGCAGAACAAGTTGCAGATATTGGGAACTAAATCTCATTCCCGACAGCATCTGCTCCCACCGGCTCTGCATGGCTGCTTTACACTCTGCACACACTCTAATCTGCTGCTTTGTCTTTTATGTTTACTCTTGCATGGATACCTTGTCAGCCTTGTAGCATCTGCAGCGTGCAAATGTACCATCTCTGCCTCAACCAACACCTGATGCTGAAAAGACAACCCCATCTACCTCATGTCGGCATCTTTCAGCCAAGGAGAGACATTTCCTCAGTGCCCAACTCCAGCAAACCTTTTCTTCCTTCCTCCCAGAAAATCTCCAGCCCGTTGCTTGGCACGTGGTGAGCACAGAACAGACACGAGTCCTTCACCCAGACTCAGCTCTCATGAGAGCAGGACAATATGCTGCAGCTGCAGCGTGGGAAACACTTGATGGTTCCACTTGGAAATACTGCCCCAGTACCGACACCGACGGCCGTTTCCACCCCCCGACCAGACTCGGTGATGCTGCAGGACTCACCTTCTCCCCTTGCTCTCTGGACACTTGTCTTTTGTCATTTGCATCGCATTTGTTTCCCAAGATCATCTTCTCGACATCCGGAGAGGCGTGCTGAGACACAAACAGACCACAGGCTTTGCCCTGGGGAGCTGAGGCACCCACCGAGGCCCTAACACGGGGGTGCTGGTGCTCAGCACCTCCCAGAGATTTACAGGCTCCCCCACAGCCCATGTCCTAGCAGGTGTCCTGCATGACAACCGCTCCCAGGCCACCTGCAGCAGCAGGAAAACATCACCCCTCAGGTCTCCTCGTCACTCGAGGGTACGGCCCTCACTGCCCCCCCTCAGTTACTGTGCACCACGACATCCCAGGAGTCACTATCACTGATCTTCACTCCATTTGGTTCCAAGTACCCTCCAGCACATGCATTCAAAAGAAACTCAACGCACCTGAAGCAACAGAACTTCAAACACCACATTTAACATTTGGTAAGGAAATAGAGAAATTACCTCTTCGATATTCCTGACCCAGTTCCGAATGTTCTCGAACGATTTCTCATTGGTGATGTCGTAGACTAACATAATGCCCTAAGGATTAAAAGGAGGCAGTTTCAGCTGGTGTTACTTTAAGGAGGAGTTAAAGAGTTTAAAAGGAGTTAAAGTTCTCCTTTCCACAGCAGAAAGGAGCCACTGAACAACAGCTACTTTTGAAACAGTCGGTTCGTGGTTCCACGTAACACACAATCGCGGCTGCCTGGCCAGATGTCCTGGGTTCAGCTACAGCAGAGGAGTTAAATTCTTCCTTGCCACAGCAGAAAGGAGCCACTGAACAACAGCTACTTTTGAAACAGTCGGTTCGTGGTTCCACGTAACACACAATCGCGGCTGCCTGGCCAGATAAGGTGCTCATGGAGGGAACCGGCCCCCAGGCGCTCCCCCACTGCCCCAGCACCGCTCCAGCAGCGGCACTGGGGTAAACCCAGAGCCAGGCACCGTGGACGCGCCCCGCGGTGAACCCGCCCCGTTCGCGGATCTAAGCTCCT